GTGTCCGTGTGTGTGTCTGTGTGTCCCTGTGTCCCCGTGTCCCCCACGCCAGGGCTGCATTCAGCCATGCACAGCCCAGCCCTTGGCCGTTAGTACATTCAGAGCCCTTACGATGGGAAAAGCACTTTTCCAAAGGAGGGACACTCCGTGCCCCGTCGTGCCAGCACGGGGGGATGATCTTCCACAGTGGGGCAGCTGCTGGCTCTGTCCCCCACAGGTGTCCTTGTCCCAGACGGCAGGACCCAGCCCCAGCCGCCACGACCAGCTCAGTACCCTCAGTTTTTTTAGCCTTAAAGTGTGCAGGGGGAGTGTGTCCCCATGTCCCCGCCAGCCACTGCATCCCAGCGTCCTTCCTCGCAATCCATTTTGCAGGGAAATGGAAGTTTTCAGACAGTGCTCAAGGATGTCCATCAGGTTGCTCTCCATGATGTGTCTGTGGGGGACAGCCTGGTCTTGCTGCCAGCCCTCACAGCTCCCTGATCCGCATGGGAGCACAGGGACAACCAAGGCACATCCCAGGACCAGCCTGTGCCCTGGCAACACCTCAGGGATGTGCCACCTTGTCCCACTGGATGCCAGCCCTGGCTCTTCTCCACCCAGGACACTCCAGGCTGCAATGTTCACCCCTGCAAGGGGCAATAAATTACCAGAGGGCAGATGGGGCCAGCACAGGGTGCGGGGTAATAAATAGGAAGGCGAGAGTTCAGGAGGCAGTGGTGGGGGCTGGCTGGCAGTGGAGCCGGAGCGGGCGCTCACGGCGGGCTGAGATGAGGTAGGATACGTGCCACCTGGCCAATGACCTGCACGTACTTCCTGAGCACCTGGCAGCCCTGCTGCTTCTTCTTGAAGGTGCTCTTGCCCTTGGAGCTCTCCCCGTAGCTGACATCCACCTGGAAGATGTTGTAGTTCTTGCAGAGGAGGCAGGTGAGGTTGGAGATGAGGCCCCGGGTGGTCTTGGTGGTGTTGTGCAGCCGGTCGAGGAGCTCCTTGGCTGTGGGGTTGAGCTCCTCCTGGTCACGTGTGATGTTCCCCAGTGAGGCGTTGAGGAAGGCGAAGAGCTTGTACATGGCCAC